ATTGTTTGACTTGGAACTAAAGATCGATGTTTTTATTGATATTTTTAGCAGAACTTATTCTAGATAAATATCAAATGCTCAATATATTATCTTTGGTATATGTGCCCAATTAGTTGAATTATTGTCTTGCTTATTGATATCTCTGGTTATGTGTTATCTTAAAAATGCATACAGCTTGTTTGGTTCTGCGGCATCTTATCCTCATTGTCAGGAAGGTCGGGCATTTTTGTTATGCATCAAATCGAAAGCTTTGGCTCTTTTGTGAGTTTTGATATTATACTACATTTTCAGGAAAGGATAAGAAGAAATGCATACATGCAAGCTATGAAGGTTGTATCAAGAGGCGGGTCTAGCAGAGGATCTGAAACCCCTTCTACTCCAATTCACGCAGACTCTACTTGTGACAAAAGTCAAGAGGAGAATGAGTGCAGCGGCACTCAACAATCACCACTTCATTCTACTTGTGAGCAGATTCAGACTCCAAATGATGGGATATTGCTCATATGTTTGATTTTAATCTTTTCTTTGAATAAGTACAAGTAATTGTGTAATTATTCTTATGAAATGTGTTTTGCACAGATGAGCAAGGTGTACCTATATGTCGTAGGGGGCGCACCACATGCATTGACATACAAAATATGCTGCCAGGTACACGTGTACATATAGAGGTGAATGAGAATAATGTGCCAAGCAATATTTCAGAGTCTGTCCTATTAGGATCATTTCTAGGTGTCATTGCAAGAGATCATGTACTGGCACCCTTATCCTTTCCAGATTAGAGAAATAAGGGTCTGGAGCCCTTTTAAAAAAAATGTTAGCTGAAGTGGAGGTAAGTAAAATATTAAATAAATATTAAATATTAATGTTTATGTTATGATTAAGAAAATATTTGTTTATATTGCAGTCAAAGTTTGCATTTCCTGGACATATACGTCACTTGATTCTTCAATCCCTTGGAGTTAAGTGGCGTAACCATAAGACTAATTTAAAAGCTGAGCATTGGGACAGCCGTCCTATCGAGGAAATTATGGAGTCTATTTCATCTGGTGTTGATGCAACACAGTGGTGTCATCTAGTCACCCAGTGGTCACAACCAAAAGACAAGGTTAGTACCATGATTATATTTAATTAAAATTTTCATAACAAATCAACATAGAGTTAGATTCATATGTAACAGGAGAGGGCCGTCATAAATTCTGCAAAAGCAAAGAAACAGACTTGTCCTCACACTATGGGGCGTGTGAGTTCTATTCGTAGGCTACAAGAGATGATATATATTTAAATTTATATAAATTTTATGTTCACATTTGTTAACTAATTGTCTAATGATGAAATTTCTTGATATAGGCTATCAAAGACAGATTATTATTATGGAGAGTTAATAGATTGCGTAAAGATGGCACCTGGTCATCTGAAGATGCTAATTAGAGATGGGTAATTTTAGTTTAGCTATAATTTTTTTATATGTAATTCATTATTATTT